ATAAAGCTTGGCTTACCGAATATCAGGTCCCTTTCTACAAAAGCACATTTGTAAATGATATGATCATGGATCATAACCTAGATGTGCTCTGTTCGACAGAAACCTGGCTAAAACCAGATGATTACATTATTTTAAACGAGTCTACTCCCCAAGATTACTGTTATAAACATGAGCCGCGTCTATAAGGGTAAAGGGGGAGGTGTTGCTACAACTTATAGCAATATTTTCATCTCAGAGGGCAGGCTTGAAGTATAACTCATTTGAAGTAATGGTGCTTCATATAACATTATCCAAGAGAGACCTTCATGTCATCTTCCTCGACTTGGCTAATGCTTTCGGTTCAGTACCTCACAGTGTCCTTTGGGCTGCCTTTGAGTTCTTCAGAATACCAGAGTCCATTATAAACTTGGTCAAAGTTTTTTATAGATTTACAATTCTGCTTTAGTACACCAGACGTCACCACCACATGGCAGCGGCTGGAAATAGGTATTATGGCTGGCTGCACAATCTTTCCACTTGCATTCATCATGGCGATGGAGGTGATTATCAGAGCCTCAAAATGGGTAGTTGGGGGTAAGCGGCTAAAATCTGGCACCTGGTTAACACCAATCAGGGCCTATATGGATGACTTAACCATACTGACAACAATGGCACCTTGTACCAGATGCCTACTTAAACTTCAAGAAAACTTTAAATGGGCCAGGATGAAGATCAATCCATATAAATCCAGAACTATTTCCATCGTCGCAGGAAAATTGGTTGACCAAAGGTTCTGTATTAATGATGAACCAATTCCAACTATTCTAGAGAAGCCCATCAAAAGTCTGGGAAGACACAACGATAGAAGCCTCAAGGATTGTGGACAGGTCCAACAACTTAACTGGGAAGTTAAGAGGGGCCTAGAGACCATCAATCAATCCATGCTTCCAGGCAAATTAAAACTCTGGTGCCTACAGTTTGGCCTGCTGCCCTGACTGATATGGCCTCTGACTGTTGCAGATACGCCCCTCACAAAAGTTGAGAAGATGGAAAGGAAGATCAGCTCCTTTGTGAGGAAATGGCTAGGGGTACCACGATGTCTAAATAGCATCAGCCTGTATGGACATGGCATCCTTGAGCTGTCCCTCTCAAGTTTGGTAGAAGAGTTCAAGTGCACTAAAGCAAGGCAAGTGATGACACTTTCAGAATCCCGAGATCCTTTAATACGGGAAGTTAGACCATCTCTGCCAGCAGGAAGAAAATGGACACCAGGTGAAGCCATACAACTATGTTGACATTGTGGGACATGTCCAACACGGGAGAGGGGGCCTGGGCCTATCTCAAGGAAGACACTTATGGAATAAGACAACACCATCAGAACAACAAAAACTGGTGGTTCAAGAAATTTGTCATCTGGAGGAAACGGCAATACACACCAAGGCCGTTGGACAAGCACAACAGGGACAGTGGACCAATTGGGAGGGCATAGAAAAAAGGAAGATCAGCTGGAAAGATCTTTTGGGAGATGGAGGCAGGAAGGATCAGTTTTCTCCTCAGAGCTACATATGATGTTCTTCCATCACCAAAAAATCTCCAGCAGTGGTTAGGAGAAGATCCTTTATGTCCTCTGTGCTCATCCCCAGCCACCCTCAGACACATCCTCACCGGCTGCAAAGTGAGCCTTTCTCAAGGCAGATATACATGGAGGCACAACCAAGTGCTGAAATGTCTGGCTGCAGCAATTGAGCTCAAAAGAACATCTACCAACTCCACACCTCTCATAACATCAACTAAACATATGTTGTTCATCCAAGCAGGGGAACAGGGGCAGAGAAGGGCCATTTCAGTGGTGAAGATCGGACAGTTGGAGGGAGCCAGGGACTGGAAGATGCTGGCTGATGTAGGCCAGCAACTCACAGTCCCAGTCGAGATTGTGACCACCACTCAAAGATCAGATTTAGTACTCTGGTCCAACGTCCTAAAGTCTGTCGATTTCATCGAACAGACAGTACCCTGGAAAAATGCTACAGAGGAGGCAAATGAGAGAAAGATGCTACGGTATGCGGAAATGGCAGAAGACGCTCAACAGCGTGGCTTGAAAGTGTCCGTCCGCCCTGTGGAGGTTGGCTGCAGGGGCTTTGTAGCAACATCGACCGTCAAGTTGCTTAAGGAGCTGGGAATTTGTGGCCAAACCCTTCACCAGACCATCAAACAAATATCAGACTCGGCAGAATACTGCAGCTGGTGGCTCTGGCTGAGAAGTAAAGACCCCAGCTGGGCCCCAAAATGACAGGAACCCACACCAAGGCCTGATCAGCCTGTGGTGGGCCTGCCTTAGTGGAGGGTGTATTGTATTTAAAAGGCCGAAACACCTGAGGAGGCAAAGGTACACAACTGAAGATGGGTCTAATGCATAGGTGGCCCTGAACTTCTGCTGGTGGTGACAGCTATATACATCCAACTAGTGCGAGAGGCCTACAATTTGTGGACTATTTCCATCATGTCCTATGTGTTTAAATAAAAGGGATATACACATTTATTGCCAAAAGTATAGACCCTTTTCACAAGACTGTGATGACGCCTTTAACGATCATATTTGTATTTTTTTAAAGTGTATGTACATTTATAACACTATTCTTTGTATTATATCACCTTTGCATCAAATTACAAAAAAACTGTTAACGCTAATGCAAGGGTGTTTCTAGTTGTTCTCTCTGCTGACAGCCCTTATCAGTCTCTCTCAATTTTTTTCCTTTTATTGAAAGTCACGAAAACACTCTCGTGGAGTTTTTCTTTTGCTATTTGATCATTGCAAAAAAATATATATATTTGTGGTACTCTCCCATTCACTGCTATTCAAGTTAACCCAACAATGACGACTTCCCGCTGCTGAGAAACCTGGAAATGTGAAAAAGGTTCATTGGGACACACCCTTCTAATGAACAGGTTTGACTACTTTAGTAATTCCCATCAGTACAAATCTTAATGTTTAAGCATATAATGATATTCTAGGGAATTGTGTGCTTCTAATTTTATAGCAACGGTTTGGACAGGACCCTTTTCTATTCTAACACAACAATGCATCTGTGTATAAGGCAAGGTTCAAAAAGAAATGTTTGATTGAGTCAGTGTGGAAGAACTTGTCTGGTCTGCAGAAACCCAGCTGAACACCTCTGCTGTGACTTTCAATGCAGACCTTGAGCCAAAAACTCATCACCAAACACCAATGATTAAAGTACAGTCATTTTAGACACTTCCAAAACTGATGGAAATACAATTTTTAAATACATGAACTATGTTTCCATCTTTGTTGGCACAGTTTTGGAAGTGCCTTTTTCTGTTCTAAAGAAGGGGGTGTCCCAATGCTTTTTTTATAAGTCATTGGTGTTTGGTGATGAGTTTTTGGCTCAAGGTCTGCATTGAAAGTCACAGCAGAGGTGTTCAGGTGGGTTTCTACAGACCAGACAAGTTCATCCACATTGACTCAATCAAACATTTCTTTTTGAACCTTGCCTTATACACAGATGCATTGTTGTGTTAGAATAGAAAAGGGTCCTGTCCAAACTGTTGCTATAAAATTAGAAGCACACACTCTAAAAAATGCTGGGTAAAATAGGGACAAACCCAGCAAATAGGCTGTTTTGACCCAGCGGTTGGGTTAAATGTTTAATGGTAGTAACCCAACCGCTGGGTCAAAATAACCCAATTGCTGGGTTTGTCCCTATTTTACCCAGCATTTTTTAGAGTGCACAATTCCCTAGAATATCATTATATGCTTAAACATTAAGATTTGTATTCATGGAAATTACTAAAGTAGTCGAACCTGTTCATTAGAATGTGGGGTCCCAATACTATTGGCAATATGGTGTATATAGTCAGTTCGATGCATAAAGCTAATAACCGGTTTTATTGTTTCATAGCCCTTAGTACTAAGAAAGGATTTTGTTCCGTTTATGCAACCTTGATGAATATAATAATTTTCTTTAAAAATCATAGTGGAACAAACTTTTGCTCTGGTTGCTCGGCCCCCATTGGAGTGCATACAGAGGGACTTTGATATTGCTGCCTGTTGCCAGAGTTACAGCTCACGGGGTTTTATAATGTAATGAGAAGGTCAATATATTCCATTTACGTCAGTTTTACTTGGATAGGAACAACAACTTTCTTTGTGTGTTTTTAATCAAAATGCACATTTGCTAAAGGGCAGGCTTAAAACAGGCATGCTTGTGAAGGAACAAAAATCAAACAGAACAAAAAAAACAGAAATATCATATTAAACCTATTTATTTCTATCTTATGCTTATTCACATAAACATTACATTTCTATTATACATTATTTCTATCAGTAAAATATAACGACAGTTCATTATTTTCGCATAGAGGTACATGCAGAATCTAAAATGTTTATAATTTTTTTAAGAAAGTAAGTCTGATGGTTACATTTTTTTTTTTTTTTGTACTGCCACAAGAAAGCTATGTACCAGATATTTACATATTTTCCACAATAAATTTTACATAATCTTATATTAAGTAAAGATCATGTTCCATGAAGATATTTTGTAAATTTCCTACCGGAAACATATCAAAACTTAATTTTTGATTAGTAATATGCATTGCTAAGAACTTCATTTGAACAACTTTAAAGATGATTTTCTCAATATTTTGATTTTTTTTGCACCCTCAGATTCCAGATTTTCAAATAGTTGTATCTCGGCCAAATATTGTCCTATCCTAACAAACCATACATCAATGGAAAGCTTATTTATTCAGCTTTCAGATGATTTATAAATCTCAATTTTGAAAAATTGACCCTTATGACTGGTTTTGTGGTCCAGGGTCACACATATATATAATCATTATCAATGTTTTTCAATTGTCAGAACCTTGTTTGTAGAGAAGGATGAATCTTAGCTCATAAAATACAAAGAGTGTGAGGATCTTAAATCTATCCCTACATTTAAACCCAATCATGAAACACATTCATGATGCAGAATCAATGTGCAAAAAAAAAAAACAACAACAACAACAACAATCAGATCTGTGGAGCTGAGCTGAAGAACTTTTTCAGACTGGCTCTGGAGTTCCATCCTCTCTCCTTCGCAAACCTGAGCACACTCCCAAACAGATCAGGGAATGAAGCCATCAGGCTGATGCTCTCTGTGTCCTCTGCACTATGTAGAGAAAAACACCATGGTCTAACATAATAATACTAAAATGTTCTGGTATAAATACCTTGCATGATATTACATGTAACTCACTAATGCTCGTGTAGGTTGCGTATAAAACGCAGCAGGCCCAGCATGTTCTCAGGATAGCCTTTCTTCTTACCATCTAATTTCTGGATGAGCTCAGATGGCAACTGAAAAATAAATATTTTACAAATAATTTTTCAAACCAAGATTAATGCATGCCATACACTATTTTCAACTGATTTATAAGAAAGAAAAAAAAATTAGACATTAAATCAGATTGTTGAAGTTGTTACTATTTTCATAATTTGAACATTTCTTAAATATATTTATTAGTGCTGGGCAACGATTAAATATTTTAAATCGTGATTAATGGCACGATTGTCTGCAATTAATCACGATTAACCGCATTATGCACAAACTGCTAAACAAAAGTGCAATAACATTTGGTTTGCAAACACTAAACAAATAAGGTGATTTTTTTTTTTTTTTTTTAACAGGAGTATTCCTCTAGTAGCAGTTAAAATATTTTTGTAAATCTCAACTTATAACATTAATGTAATCAAATTAAATATAAAACTAAATCTATTTGCCACTGCCAGGGCATTAACGTTTTTATAGAAAATATTTTATAGTTATAGAAAAACAAGTTATGCTCAGGGTCCAGAGCCTCGAACATAAGATTATAACAGTCAGGCACCTTCCGAGTAGAGACCTGCACGATCATGGGACCCAACACAACGGAGTGTGGCACGGGTCAACACTTGATGGGCGAGTGCGGATGCGGTAGGGTAGAGACTTGTGTGTGCGGGATGCGGGAGAATAAGGGTGTGCTCCCACTAGGCAATCTTAACCATGCCGAGCGTGTCTGACCCCCAAAGCCCGGTTCGTTTGACTAGTGTGATCGCTACGTGCCACACTCGGGCACGGTTCGTTTAGCCGTCCCTGGCTCGGTTGGAAGAGGTGGGCCAGAGAATGGTTCAATTATATATAAATGAGTGTGAGCGCTAACTGCGCCGGAGCACATAACTTATGATGCGTGCAGCATGATTGCATTACATTTCTGCGCGGCAAGTGATAGATCTGTAAAGCAATATATTGGAGATGGTCCTCACTGCAGAACACAAGATCCAGGGGAGGTGGTTGGATCCAGATCCAACTCCTCCCACCTTACATATACCTAAACCCACCCGTTTCCATCCCCTGATCCCTAAACCCACCCATCTCCACCCCCTAGATGTGGATCCAACCACACCCCCTGGATCTTGTGTTCTGCAGTGAGGGGCTACTGATATATTGTGAGAGGGCCGTGTGTTACCGCGTCCCAAACGACTCAAATTAATAAACCCATTTCCCACTTATGAAATCGTGATTACAAGCACATTGCATTCGAGGGCATTAGGCCCTCCCCAAATGCTCTCATTGGTTGAGACGCGTGATGACACCCATCCAAAGCCAGTACTGGGCTGCGTTCAGCCCCGACAAAACGGTGCAAAACGGGGTTTTTTTAACAGAAATGGTGGGGCGTTGAACACACTGTTCTGATGACGCAAGAGTTGCAACTATGGCAGCTGAGAAGGCCATTCTTTGTGTTCTTTTTGAAGAATTTTCAGAGCCTGCAAAATACGCTCAATGTTATTGGAAGTATTCGGCTTATCATTATTGCTGATCACTGTTGTTGTGCTATGATATTGTAATATTTACTATTATATAATCAGAGGGGTATAGAAAAGTTTATGAAAGTGTCACTTCACAATACAACAGCAAAATATATAAATATGTATAGAATTTTTATTACATTAATCCGTGTCTAGCACACCCTCCTAAGGAAAGGATATGGACCAGACGACATTGCAATTACTAAATTATATTTAGACTTAAAGTTCCAGATCTATACTGGTGCTCTTATTATTCAAGTTGTTTTGCCTTTAATGTAAATAAACATGTGCAAACAATATACTTGCTCTTGTGAATTTATTTGGATGTTAATTACATTGTGAGCTGTCTCTTTAATACCGCGTGGTTTACATACATGTTGCTGCTGATTGGGCTGACATGTTTGACACACCCACCAAACAAGAGAAAACCGTCTCAAACCCCGTTGCACACCGTTTCCAGGAAACATGTCGTTCATACCGGAAACCGTAGCAAAATGTTGCGCACCGGTTTGAGCTTGAACTTGCCCCTGATCAGCATCCTTCCCCTCCGGTGACCCATGGTTCGTCTGTATGTGTATTCAGTGGCAATGAGTAATGGACTTTCATACTAATAAAAAAAACTGCGTTAACATGCGATAAAACAATTATCGGCGTTAATCAATTAATGCGTTAACGTGATAATGCTTAACTTGCCCAGCCCTAATATTTATATTTACATAGTATGTTTGAATATTTCTGCATTGAAGTTAGACTCACTTTAGTTTTCCATTCAGAAAAGCTTTTCCCCTCTGTGTATTTTTCAACAGTTTGAAGGAGCTCCTCATCAACATTACGACAGTTCTCGGTCTCCTTCTGGTTCCCCATCTTTTTCAAATATTCCACTCTCCTGACAGGATTTCAAAAACAGTACAATATCATCATGTCACGATCACCAGCTGGACTGGCCTTGATGTCCGTAAGAGGGCACTTCATCCCGACTTCTGCCCCTCTATCAATGACTTCATTCCCCAAAATCCTCTGCCAAGTCTCGTCAGCACTCATTGTTTGCACCTGTGTCTCATTAGCCTTGTTAGCTCACCCTATCCACCTTTTTCCTAAACCCCATGATGCTTTGTGCCAATTAGGGGAGTAAATTCTGTTTACACTGTAAACAATCAGCAAAAGGTTCACTCTATTAACGCAATAATAAGCATTTTCAAAAACTAGGTACAATGAGGTGACATTATTTTATTCACCCTTCAACTAAAATCATTAAAAGAAAATTTAAAAGTGTAAACGCATTAACAGATTACCTTCAACATACCATGAATAACTCCTAAAGATCCTCCTTCTATCAGCAGCAATATTACAGACGTATTAAATATCAATATATTAATATGTCTATATTTCGTAACAATTACATTTTACAGCATCCATGTAAAAACCAACCTGGAAAGAGATATGAGGATTTGGTGAGAAAAATGTAAGATTCTCAGCGCATTCCAGGGAATTATTTATGGTTTATACCATCAATTAAATCGAGAGAGCAGACCACAAATGCATAGTTTATGTAGCCTATTCCTATTTGACGTTGTCTTCTTCTAATTGTGCTTCTGGTAGCGGTCCTAAACAGGCAGGGGATTGATTTAGTAGTCTTACTTGTACCTGTCTCAGCTGCAACACGAGTTTCTTGTATCTGCCTGGCTGGCACAACCAGAAAGATGAAGCCAGCAAAACGTATGTGTTTAAGTGATTATTGAAGTAAAACGATTAAGTGATTTAATCAAAGCGATAATCGTTAACTTTAATTGAAGCCTGTTTGGATCATAACCATATGGTAACCTGTGTTAACTCTTCTTCATTCAAAGCTTCATAACATCTAATCATCCCATGTAATTGTTAATAACTATTAACCCAAATAGTGTGGAATAACAGAATCCAAATTTATCAACGTAGAATTGTTTGTTTGAAAGTTGATACATCCCACATAAAAGGCTGGTCTACAGGGGACAGATTTGGCATTCTGCAGACATTTTGCTGTTCCCTAAGTTTTGATCATTCATATGTACTTCTTATTTTGCTTACTTCATATTGTAATAATAATCAATATTATTCTATTAATGATCAGGTAAGTTTAATATATGATGGTGTTCCGAGATCTGGAAATCTGATCTTACTATCTCGGCTTGTGCTTACAGTTTGGTCCCCGTGCCCCCCCCCCCCCCCCCACACACACTTTGAAAACATCTCCTGCGCCCCTGTACAGCGGAATACAAAGGAAACATGACAATAATCAGGAGGAAAATAATGCAGCGGGCTGAAAAGAGTTATTCTATTGATATTGTTGTTGTATCACGTCACATTAATATACCAAACGTTATTCTCCTGACTTCTGAAAATAGAAAATGAATGAAAATTTACAGCCCATTCAGTCAAAATGACAGATAAGGATTATTTGTAGCACAGTCTTATGATTTGAAATGATTTGTTGCAGTCTTTTTGAGTGGAACTTCCCCAAACGGAAGTGCCTCCCATAATATAAAACGCAGTATGCTCATTAGGAAAAAGGTGGATATAAGCCCTGTTCATGTCATTCATTGTTAAGTCTTGCTATAGTGTCTGCATTGTATTTCTAAGACTACACTCTTAAAAATAAAGGTGCTTAAAAGGTTCTTCACAGCGATGCCATAGCAGAACCATTTTTGGTTCCACAAAGAACCATTGAGTCAAAGTTTCTTTAAAGAACCATCTCTTTCTTAGCTTTTTATAATCTGATCACTTTTTGTGAAACAGAAAG